TCTGGTCTTTTTACATTCTATGGTGCATTGTTGCTACAATTTCTTAATTGAGGTCTGGATGTTCCTTTTTAGTTGTAGAAATATCAAATTTGGGTTGATTGTTTGTAATCCTCTGATGTGCAGAAAAGAATGGGACGACTTGTTCCTGAACAGCAACTACCTGGCCAGGATCCGGCAGGCTGGCGTCAACGGTCGGTTGAGGAGTAGTCGCTTTCGCAGCGTTTGCTGGAAGGTAACTTTGGATTCATTGAATTTTAATTAAAAAGTGTTTTTGGCAAAAGTATTGCAATACAACAGTGGAGTAGGAGCTCAGTGTTTGGTTGTAAAGGAACAGATTTCCTCCTATTTTTCATGTGTGAGCAATCAGCCACTAATGGGTGTCCTGTGTGTCTGCAGCTCTACCTGGAGGTTCTCCCTGAAGACAAGGGACAGTGGATCAAGAAGACCAAAGAGCATCGGGCTCAGTATGAGAGGATCAAAGAGATGGTGGGGCGGCCCTTCTATACTACAGCATGCTGTTCTTGTTCTGTCATATCCAAAACGCCTGCATGACTTTTATATTTTATGTAAATGTAGAAAATGTTTAACTTTCAGTAGGAATCCAGCATCAGCTGTTAATTATCTTATACTTTAGCGAATGTCTTGAGATGAATCTCTTATACCATAATCCTCCCTCCTTATAATACCATGTATTTTGCACAGATCATCACCTTAAAAATCACCCACACAGCTTGACGGTGCTGCCTTAGTACTTTAGAATTTACTGATTGTCTCAGGAGTTTAAGCTTCCAACTTTTTTAAAGATGGTAATTTACAGCTTAGTGCTCTGTTTACAGTTTAACCACACCACAGGACATTTCTCCAATTATTCATCCATTATTCGTCCATTATTTGATTTGCAGATTATAATCTGTTTTACATGTTGCTTTTAGAGACTTAGCTTGCTTTTGTAAAGGTCCCTTTTATCCTATGTGAGGATACAAACTCTATTTTAGCAGCTTCAGTCAGCATCTTAACAAAATCGTCTTTTCTGGTGTTGATGGATCTATCTTGCACCGAGAGATGTTTCTCATTTGGAGACAAAATCCAAGAGATCTGCCCTGACTTCCTGAAACAGAAATCTTAACAGTTATTTGGCCGTTTAAACGACTTCAGTGCACTGAAACTTCAGTCAAAGAATCAAAAAGTTTAAAAGCAAAAACAATAGCAGATTCACAATGTTAAGTCTGCCAACTGCATCAGGCTATCAATTAAAACCAATTCAATTATTGCAAAAATGATTTTGAGCAGCTAATGTGGTTTTAAGTGGAAATAAACCTTTATGAGGCCACAGCTGTGGAGGCTGTTGTCATAATTTGATTAGAAAGAACGGTGGCCTTCTCACTCACCTCACCCAGACCTTTCCTGTTTGTTGCAGCACATCACTAACCCCCGCAAGGCTGCAGGCCAGCAGGACCTGGTGGTCAACAATCCACTGTCCCAGGATGAAGGGGTAAGGATTCATGCTTTATTTTTTTATTTATACTGATTTTTTTCTTAATCTTACTGTTGTTACTGGTGAATGTGATGCAAGTCACATGAACTGCATCATGATCTTTCAGTGGTCCCAAAACTCTGAAAACCTGCTTTTTAAATAGATTTCATCAAATAATCAGGCAAATCAGAACAAACTGCCAGATGTCAATCCACATAAAATGTTTTCTATCATTGTTTAACTAGGATTAATGTGCAGCTTACTTAGCCTAAGTTTAATTCAAAAAGACCAAAAATAAATGTTTTGTTTTATTTTATTCTGTCTGTATTAAATGCTCCCCAGGTATTGCCTGCAATTTATTCATATATACAAATCTAGTTAAAGGATGGGCTTTTGTTCGTTTGTTTATTCATCCCTTTAGCTAATTTATATCAAATTAATGTGACCACACTTTAAAAATTCCACAGATCACTGCTTCTCATTCCCCTGTTTTTTGTTTTTGATTTTTTCAGAGTTTATGGAACAAGTTCTTTCAGGATAAAGAGCTGAAGGGGATGATCAAGCAGGACGTTTTCAGGACGTATGCCCCACTCTGTCTGCTTTAACTTCACATTTGCTGCTGTTTTTGCAAAATCATGCATTTTTTAAATTTTTTATTTATTCCCTCTTCTTCTACAAAAGATTCCCTGAGATCTGCTACTTCCAGAATGAGGATGTGAGGACCAAGCTGACGGACATTCTTTTCTGTTACGCCAGAGAGAATGAGCAGTTGCTATATAAACAGGTATCACCGTTTGCCTAATCATAGCCTTAATTACGGTTAATATTGGCCTTTCGGGTATTTTTGTGGTTGCAAAGTGAGGAATTTGACTGTTTTTGGGGAGAAAAAAAATATATTTTCAGGCTCTGTCTTTTATATATGCATCTAAAGGGATCCATCCATCCTTGCGTTTGTCCATCCTCGCTGTTTGTCCTTCTGTCACTCATCCCTCTAAGTTCTCCCATCCATGCTTCTGTTCTGCTGTCATCCATCTGTTTTTTTCCCCATCAACCTTCTCCTCATACTTGTCTTTTCCTTTTATCTGTTTATTCATTCACCCATCATTTTTAATCCATATCATCATCCATCCCTCCATAGTTTTTACAGGTTTTTCATCGTATTGTTTAAAATGGTTGCAAATATCACCTTAACTGTGGGGAGAATAAATGTAAAGCAACCCTCATCTCTGTTGAGGCACTCTGTGTTTAAGGGGAACAAAATGCCTCTGTAACCTAATCATTATTGGTGCCAGTGGATAAATAGATGGCTGGTAAAACATCTCCTTTCCAAACTGGAAGTGACACGCGGAGGGGCATTGGCTAATGATATCTAAATTAAAGCTGTCGTCAAGAATTAGAAACCTCGTGCATCATTATTAAAGAAAGACTGACCAGAAATTGTGCTCCATCTATAGCTACCCTTACAGGGCTGTCTCTCTGTGTGTGTGCAGGGGATGCATGAGCTGCTGGCTCCCATAGTGTTTGTGCTGCACTGTGACCATCAGGCCTTCCAACACGCCAGCGAGACAGCCAGCCCCAGGTCAGTACAGGGCTCTTCTTACAGCTGAATCTTTCCTTTTCTTCCACAGAGAAAATAAAATTTAGGATGTCTGCTTTTTTTCTTTCTATAGTGAAGAGATGAAATGTCTTTTGAACCCTGCGTACCTTGAACACGATGCCTAGTGAGTGCACAAGTACTTTGACATTTTTTTAAGTGCTGTTTTGTCATTAATTATCCCTTTTATATCTACACTGACCTGTGCCCTGTTCTGTGCTCAGTGCCATGTTCTCACAGCTGATGGAGACAGCAGAGCCGTGGTTCTCCACCTTCGAGAGGGAAGTGAGGAAGGTCAGTCGATGGTTCTACATTAGATTAGACCAACATTCAGAAATAAACCTGAAGGTCTCATCTGATTTACCTGACGTAATGACATAAGACTAGCTGTAAGTGTGTTTAGTGTGTGTTAAACACACAAAAAAAGTTAAGAAAAAATTACATTTTAAAAGAATTTCTAAAGTTTTGATTTTTCTTTCTTGCATGAGCAACTTTAAATGGTGACCTGGATAAAGACTCAGTCACCTGATTCAACATGTTTCATGTGACCTTTTTCCTGCAAGAGCCCCCGTGGGCCCCTCTGTGGTTCTTTAGAAGGGAGAGGAGCTGCACTAACTGCAACCTCATTCGGTTCTGCGATGGCTTTAAAAGTCGAACCCTGAATGTGGAACCTGTGAAGTGAAATCCAATTACTTGCTTCATAGTCTCCGAATAAGGGTGGCAGACACAGCTGCTGAAAAAAAAGACGTAGCTTGCAAAGGGAACTGGTGTAAATCAAACAACCAAAGAAATCATGAAGTGGATAGTTTCAGGAAGAAGAATAAAAACACAAAAAAAAAGTTCACATTTTACTTATAAAAGGGTATTGGGCGAAATATGAACCCGCTCTGTTACTTCTTAAACTATTTAAGGTTGTTTTTACTTTTTTTCATATTGCAAACACTGAATTTATCAATAAAGTTATGTTGCCTTCAAGATAACGATGCGCTATCTGCATGGTGAAACATAAAACGGGGGGGATGCTTATCTATAGCATAGAGAAGCTGATCAGATGTGATCGGTAAAACCAAGCTGCAAGGACAGGAGTGATAAAAATAACAATTTAGCCACAGGCAAAAAATAAATAAATAAATACATTTCAATGTTAATGAAAGTAGTAAATGGAAGCTCATTGAAACAAGTTGTCTTTTGCATACCATAGAAGAAAACTGTAATAACTATTAACAGTTATGGTTATAAACAGAAATATTTCTGAATAGCCAACCTTAAAACTATATGATTATGTAAAAACCCAACCCTCCAGTGATCATTTACATGACAAGAAAATCTTTTTCCAAGCTGTATTCTGAAGTTATTGTTGATGAACAAAAAAAAATGTATCTAAAGTTTGCACAAATTGATTGATTGATTGATTTTATTGATCCCACAGAGGAGAAATTTACTCATTACATCAGCTCAAATAGTCAAAGGAGAAGAAGGTGCCAAAGGAAGAAAAAGGTGCATGGGATTTATAACAGGATTATTATACAAGGTTACTGTAAATTTTAAATTGCAAAAAAGGTGTCAGTCTTCCTGCTGATTTTAAACTGTCCAAACTAAAGTGAGTCTGGTGACACACGTTCTGCACAAATAATTTAGTTCTTCAGGAATCCTTGTTTTTCTTCATTAAATATAAATTATATTTATGTCGGTGATTGTAAAATAAACCCTCCTCCCCAGTTCTTTTAGTCTTCAGCCTGTGTGATCTTCTTATTCTCTTAACTTCTTTTTCTAAATGTTCATTCTCTAAATGTTTATAATCATTCAGTCCTAGAAAGAAGCAGTCAGGAGACTGGAGCCGACAGTCACCTCCTAGCAGGAGCTCTGAGTACAGATCTATAATTGAATGATTCATATTCCTTTAATTCAGCTGCCTTGTCAAAAATCTCGGCGTAAATCCAACTGAGAATCTGTGGCAACACTTGGAACTTGTTTTATTCAATCTAATAAAATGAGTTAAAGTTGTTTTGTAAAAACAAAGATGCAAATTTTTAGTCTTTAGATGCTCTAATGTGCTTGTTCTTATTATTGACGAAGTTCAGAAAATAAATGCATGCTAACTATTTAGATTTGAGAAAACGGCGTTGATCTCCACATTATTCATGTCTGTTAAACAAGTCTATAGTTGAAATGTGACAAAAGGTGAAAAAGTTCATCATCTTTGAATTCTTTTGCAATGTATTGTAATGCACACATTTTTTTCAGTCGGGTGTTCTGTCTTAATGTTCTTCTGCAGGGTAAGGAGGAAATGCTAACCAGCATCCCCTTCGCTCGGCCGCAGGATGCTGGCCCATCCGTCGCCGTCGTGACCAAAGTCAACCGCATCCAGGACCAGCTGGTGAAGAAGCATGACATCGAGCTACACATGCACCTGAACCGGCTGGAGATCGCTCCGCAGATCTATGGCATGTATGTAACTACTCCCTCAGCTTCCTCTTCTTCTTTTCTAAGCTCTGCACAGATTCAGTTACCCTCTGCTTTTTTTTTTCTATCCTTCGTCTCTCTCAGCCGGTGGGTTCGCCTGCTGTTCGGCCGTGAATTTCCCCTCCAGGACCTCCTGGTTGTGTGGGACGCTCTGTTTGCTGACAGCATCACTCTGGATCTGGTGGACTACGTGTTCGTGGCCATGCTGCTTTACATCCGAGATGCTTGTACGCTCCATTTATTGCTAAGCTAATGCAGTGAAGCCATGTGTCGGCCTTTGTGGCATGTAATTTAATAAGACACTTATGAGCTGAAGAATGAGATTTCCTCTGCTTCATTTAATCAGATGAGGTCATATTTCTTGAAGCAGAAAGATGTTTTTTCTGCTGTACTTTCAGGCTGGGTTAGGGTCAAACTGTGAGAAAGTGTGGCTCTGTGTTTCTTCTAAGTAATCTGTAAATAATTATACAGAAATATGAAACACAAACGGAATATTTATTACAGGTTTTCTCTGTAACTCTGTAAAGTTATACTTTTCTTCTTTTCAGTAATCGCAAGCAACTTCCAGACCTGCCTGGGCCTGCTGATGCATTACCCTCCCATAGGAGACATCAACTCTTTGCTCCAAAAGGCTCTGTTTCTCCGAGATCCCAAAGTAAGTCAACGCTACGAAAGAAAATCCCAGTTTTTATAGACCGTCTCTGTTTGTCTCCTGAGCCCCGTTACATAGGCACCCCCAATGGAGAACAGAGAGTGAGCGAAGCGGAAATAAGCGAGTATCCTGCTTCTTTCTGAAGAGTGATTTCATTTTACTTTTCCTGCAGTTTGAGGAAGAGATTTGCCAAAGCAAACGCCCACATGCAAAACAGTGGGTGGAAATCCTCCAGCAACAGTCGCATATTGTTTTCCAAAAAGACATCTTTTCATACTGTGACTCTGTGAATCAATCAATAATATTTATATGATTAATTACAGATGACATTTGTAATATAAGATTTGCAGGTTTTTATTTCCTTTTTAATTAAAAACCTTTGGCTCATAAATGCAGAGAATTTCTTTGGTGATAGAAACAACCTGCAGGTTCTTTCCTGCAATGTGCGTCTCTAATCCAGACAGATTTTGTTTCCCTTCTCTTGTAGAATAACCCGCGTCCTGTCAACTACCAGTTTCAGCAGAACTTGGATTACTACAAAACACGAGGCGCCGACCTGATGAACAAAACGAGGTGCATGGCAGACATTCTACTCCAGCACAGTCATTTTTTAAAAGTAGCTTCTTAATTTTCTAGTAATGGTTGTTTTTAATGTCAGATTCTTTTTTATTTTTGTAACAAGTTTTTTTGTATTTTTTATTTTTTTATTATTGTTACGTGCAATCATTTTTAATCTGAGTCTGTTTGTATCACTTTCTCAGACAGCTACTTTCTTTCTACAAAATTTTGCTTATTTATCGTGAAGTAGAACAGGAAGTTGACAATATTAGAGGTTTCAGAGTTCATATCCTGGTCTGAAAATATGACACATTTGGATTATTGTTTTCTTTTTTTAAACCTGCTATTTTAATATGTCGAGACTCTTAGAGCTGATGTTTTTGGCTACTCTGAGACCATAGATTTCATTAGAGGAAAACTGAAGATCAGTTTCTAAATGCTTTCAGAATCTCATTAGTCATTAGTTCTGTGACCCCATCTCCACAATTAAACATTTTTAACATAACAAGATGTAATAAATGATTAGGAACCTTATTTATGTAGAAATCCAGCTGAATGGTTTTACTCTTATTTTGCTGCCTTTCTAGGTCTGGTTCTGTGGCAAAAGCTCCTCCGCTGAACATCAACAAGGTGTCCAGCAGCCTGCTGAGCTTCGGCAGAAAGCTCATCGCCCCGGCCATGTCTGGCGTGTCCAGCAATGTCGCCCCTATCAACAGTGAGGTGTTCTCCTCCTCCTCCTCGTATTCCTCACCTCCCTTAGCGCCCCCTGCCTCGGCGCCGTCGCCCGCCCTGTCTCACCCACTCGCTGAGCCCCCTGATCAGCCCCATTCTCAGAACTACCGTATGATGAAGTCTGAAAGCATGCCCGTCCACTTGAGCAAAGGTGAGTTAATAGAGAACAGGGGAGCTTTTCTCTTAATGCATTTTACTTTTGTTGTTTTTTTTTGTTTTTATTTATAAAACTAAAGTCCTGTCTGCATGTCCTCCTTAACACTGATGAGCTGAACGTGTGCAGCCACTGGTTGGTGTGGCTATGGCTACATTAGCTTTCACTGTCCTGTCTGTTAGATGGAGTTTCAGGCGGAGTGTCTCAGGGCTCTCTCCCAGAACAGGCTCTCACTGACACACAAGGTAACTGCTACCAAGGCAACCGCTTGTGTGTCATGCTCCCACCTCCCCCACCCTCAAACCCTTGCATCTCCATTAGCCTAGCTCTATGCACTTTGTTTGCTTGTGTGCTTTTGTGTAAACTGCAACAATTTGCTGTTAAGCAGACATTTCCTGCATGTGGATGTGACTGTATATGTTGGCCAGCAGAGGGCAATCACAGCACATGTTTTTTTTTTAATTATACTTATTTCATTTTCTATAGAGCTACAGCTTCTAGAAGCTTGGATTAATCTGAAGGCACTAAAGACACTGTAGCTGGAAGACGGAGTTCCTGGAGAAGGGCTGCTTGAATATGAAAATATTATAAATATGTCACAATTATTTGACAAACAGTCGGATTATGTCCCTTTAAACAATAGAATATTGCTCAAGATTTAATAAAGAAAGCATTCAGTGTCGTGTATATGCACATGATCAGCCCATTGATTTTCTATGGCTTTTAAAACTAATGTTCTGGATAGCTCCATGTTTGCTGTCTCCACCTGCAGCCTGGGGCATCACCTCCAGACTCATGAGTGGGACCTGCACCACAAGTTACACAAAATTTAGCCTACCTTCTGTCAGTCGTTAACTTTTTTTATATCCCACTTTTTCCTTCCACTAAACTTTCTATAGATATGTTTTGTCTCAGTGCTCCGTTTTGCCTCTGTAGCTTATTCTGCTTGTGAAGGATGTCATTGCAGTCTTAATGTCTGTGCAGGCTTAAGCATTGCCCTAATGTTTAACTTTTCATGTAAACCAGTAATGGTGGTATGTACTAATCTAGTTCTCTGTTTACTTACTTGTTGAAAAATATGGATCTATATATATATTTTGTTTTCTTTTATGGCTTTCAATGTATGGGGTATATATTTACATGTTTGTCAATGAAGCTCCAGATACATTTAATCACAGATATTTATTTCAAAATTCCAATAATATCCAATAATTTAGTCCAGCTGCATTTTTCTCGCTGAGGGATTTTTAAATCTTTTCCTTTTCGCTCCTTTTATTGCACTGATGTTGAAAGTGAAACGTATACTAAGTAAACTGTCTGGAACTGGTTATTATGAAGGGTAAGGTTGGCATTTAATAAAATAAATGAATTTTCTTCTTTTAAATAGAAATGTAATATGGTTTCTGATATGAATTTAGGCTTAAGGGCTTGCAGATTCTCAGATGTTTCATTTATTCTATTATTAATTTTTTGATAATGACACAGTTGAGCTGCATGCTTCATTTGGCCACCCTGAAAACAAGAATGAGTGAAGCAGTCCATGCATTAAGTTATTCTTCGGTTCACTCTTCAGTCTTTGGAATTAAAATATGCATCAGTCAAAATTTAAACTTTTTTTGTTTCAATCTTCTCTTGCGTCCTTTAAAGGCCGCAGCTCGAGAACGGCCAGCTCCTCTCCCAGCACAGAGAGCCTCTCAGGTGGGCGTGGCCAGTCCACTGCCTCCCCACCCCTGCCGCCTTCCAGAGGGAGTGACGTCAGCAGCTCGTCTCCTCCGCTCTCCGCCACCAAGAAGGACTCCTTCTTCACCATAACTCGCTCTCGTTCCCAAAGCAAAACCATGGGCAAAAGAGAGGCGGTGAGCTGTCTGACCTATTGGATGCTCTGCAGGCTGAATCCCTCGTCTTCACCATGATTTTTTTATCTCTCTAAAACATCAAAAGGACGAAGATCTGGAAGCCCAGGTATCATTCCTGCAGGGCCAAATCAACGACCTAGAGGCCATGAGCAAATACTGCGCCAAGATGATGAATACACACATCTGTGAGTTCAGATAAGGCTCATCCAATCAAAACATCCAGATAAGCTCTTTCAGTCGTCCATCTAGTGTGGTTAAGACTTTTATCTCTGTGGGAAAAGACCGTTTAAAAAAAATAATTTCTCTTCAGGTAAAATCCAGGAGGTGATTCTCCAAGAGCACCTGGAGAAAGAAGATGAAGTCCTAGTTTCTATAGCTGGACTCAAACAGGTGAGTATTTCTGGAAAACACTCTTCCAATGGAGATCCTATAGTTTGAATCTAACACTTCACCTTTTTTTTTTTATCCAATCAGATCAAAGACATCCTGAAGGGAGCGCTGCGCTTCAACCAGAGTCAGCTAGAGGCGGAGGAGAACGAAGAGATCACCATCGCTGATGACCACTACACCTCCACAGCTGCAGCCGCTGACACCTCTCTGAACAGCATGCACCAGCAAAGCGGACACCAGCAGGGGGAGGACGGCAGGCGGAGCAGGGACTCTTATCTGGAGGGGAGTGTGAGCGCCGACGAGAAGGAGGAAGAACCCACCACAACCCCACCTGAGCAGCAGGTTACTTGTCCTATTTCTTTTCCTGCCACCTGAGTGGGAGTTTCCATGCTGCTCCTCCAGAGTAACCAGAGTTAACTTATTGGTTTACTTTTGTCTGTTATTGATCACTTTCTGCTTAAAGCAAATATTACACACTTGACACTTGAGCATAATTAATAAACATATTTAATTCAAATATATGAGTATATATATGATTAAGTTTTTACCTAACAAATCAAACTTAAAGGAGTATCTATTCTAATTCATTAGTTGTTGCTGTATGCGGTTCTGTCCATTTACTCACTTCTGACCCGTTTTAACCTCTCCCCTAAAGATGGCGTCCTATCTGGGCTCCGAGGTAAAGAACTGGGATGATTACATCCTGGTGTCTCAGGATGAAGACCTGCTCGCTGAGGGGAAAGAAGCTGAAGGAAAGCCTCCCGTTCCTGTGAGGCGAGGGCGAGCTGCCGTGCGAATGGAGCCCGAAGGCTCTTCTGGGACTTTTCCCGACCCCCTGATGACAGGCGCTGCTTCGGGCTCCTCCAGCCCAGAGGAGGGCTCCACCAACAGCAAGGACTCCGACTTTACCATCGTTAACCCAAACGACCTGTGAACAAGAAAGTTACTCCAGTTCTCTCTCTCTGCTGCACCTATACCGTCTCTTATCCCCTTCAGGGCGTCTGATAAAACTGACTGCAGAGGGAAGGGAACCACCTGCTGTTGGTGCCACGCCACTAAAAAGTTGCACATATGTGGACTGGGACATGCAGAGTCATAAATCCTTTATGCTTTGTCTCTCCTAGCCGTCATCTGTTCCATGCAAGTCCTGTCTGAACTGATGCTGTGAGCTGTCTCATCTATCTAATGCCTGCTCCGTCTTTATAACCCCCCCCATTATCTTAACTGTAGTGCCCTACTCTGCAGAGAGCGGTTGCTATTGGATGACCTATTCTGTCACTACTCAGTTATTCTGATTGACCTGAGACTGCAGTTTCCTTTTAGGAAGAAATGTTCTCCTCTTGCTGTATGGATGAGGTTTGAGAGAAAGCCAGTATGAATGTGGAGAAACAGCCATACTGCTGCCTGTGTTTGTATATATGTGTGTGTGTGTGTGTGTGTGTGTGTGTGTGCGCGCATGTGTCCTTATGTAGGACTCTCTCTTCTCCGATACTGTAAGAAAAGGATGAGCTCCTCCCCATCACCGTCGAGGGCAGCTTTCTCCCGCTTCTAAACCAGTGCCTCTGACCATTCTACTTCTCTCAGCCAAACGAAACCTAACTCTGTGATCTTATTTGTTTGTTTTTTTTTTTGTTTTTTTTTTATTTGGAATGAATATTTTTTAACCATTTAGATTCTTAAATTCTAAGATAAAGTGATTAAATTAAGGAATGAGTCGACTTTTGGTTTTTAGATCCTGTCTAGTTGTGAACATTTTAATGTGATTATTTGGTTCCCACGTCGGATGAGGGTCGTTCTCCTGTTTTGTGCAAATTTTGTGCGGCAGCACGCAAAGAATGTTCCTCCAGCTGCCCATTCAGCATAATTAAACTTAGATCAATAAAACTATAATGCTCTTGCTATAAGCTGATTGCTGTCTGGGGAGTTGTTCTGTTGCTTTTAAAACACGCTGAACTGTGTGGGTTTGTTTTACTCTGAAAGAGCTTCGCAAAATGTCTACTCTTATCAGGCTGAATGAGATATCAGTACTCTGAAACCATCGGGACGTTCTCGTTTTAAAAAAGACTAAACATTTTCCAGTTGTCTGATGTAATTGTAAGAACAGGTGAACAAGACAATTATTTCTCATATAACAAAGTCATACTGAGGATAATATAAAACTGTTCCAGTAAGAAGTTTATATACATCTCATCAAAAACATAAATCTAATTATTTATGGAATCTTTGACATATTTAAAGTTATTTTATATACAGATATTCAGAAGATATCCCCAACATATACACACATAATCACACGGACCACATTGTCTTCCATTCATTTCTTTTTGCTAAGCTTCACCACTGCAGAGATAACCCTAATTCTAAACTCAATTTGACAGGTCCGCACAAAGTAGCATGCTCCAGGGAAATTGGCTTTACACCGTCCTTAGAAGTTTTCCAAAAATCCAAAAAGAAAACCTTGATACTTGCAGAGCTACTTGTGCTTCTGACCGAAGATGAGAGCAAAAGGTTAAGGTTAAAAGAGCAGTCTGAGGTCTGTAGAAGGACTAATTGAGTCTTAAGGAGGTTTAAAGAGGTCTCAGACTAATTTGTCTGCAAGTGGAGGAAGCCCAAAAACAACATGCTCAGGTATGACGATCGATCCAAAGTCATTATGGGACAACCTTCCTGTTCTTCCAGCTGATTTACAGAAAAACCCATGCAATCCAGAATAGACGGCACAAGATCAACATTCACAAAGATGGGAAAGGAAGAAACCCTCACTGCAGGAGAAATCGGAAGGCCAGACTTAAGTGTCAGAAAGCAGTTACATGAAGACATAAGGTTATCTTAGATTAGCATCTTTGAAAACCAGAAGGCATGTTTGTGATATAAATAAATGCACTTTTCAGAGAAGAGATACTCTCATGCTACCGGTGAAGCATGAAGTTGGAGGCATCATGGTTTGGGCAAGGCTGTGATTATGGAATCCAGCATTAACTGCACTGAGATTACAAGGGAAAGCTGATGTAGAACTGGATCTTTCATCAGGACAACGAATCAAGACAGGAATCTACCGTGGATAAAGGAATTCATATCCTTGGTCGAAGCAAACCAAAGACCTTAATCTAACAGAGTTACTGTGGGTTGGTACATGTAAGAAACCCACCCAAACATTTTACAGATAAGTGAGGAGAGGGGCAAACTTCCCTCAGGCATAAGTCTGGTAATGGTATATGACTGACTCCAGTTTAAGTAAATGAATTAAGGCTATTAGGGATCGGCTCATTTTCAACACAATCTTTTGTTAAATTGACTCATAGAAAAGGTGGATTTAAAGTGTTTACCTCTGATCTCATTATTTTGAACAAAAAATTTAAAGATTAGACAATATGTGGCAATGTTAAGGGTACAGGGGGAGTTTAGTGGAGTCGAGAGAAGATTTTTAAGCCCAAGGACACTGAGTAATTGTTCAGCAGGGTGATAGTAGCATCATGGTGAGGGTCTGTTTTGGTGTTATTCCACAAAAATTGTACTTTTACAAATTAATACGTTTACACACAGCTGTAATATATAGTTTTCAGTATAAACCAAATCAACAATATAAGCAACCAAAAATACCTTTACTTTTGTTTTTCAGTAAAGGAAAAGGCGTTTTTTTAAGCTCTTATAAAGGTAAACATCACACAAAATATTTCTCAGTGTTTTGTGAATTCGTTGGATCTTTACTCCAATCCAAACTGTAGATGGGAATACATTTGCCTTTCAAACCTTGAAACGTTTTGAAAAGCCACACCTTGGTTTGAGGTGTAAAGCCATTAGGATTCGACTTTTCTCTGAGACCTCTATCCTCATCGCCACTGAAGTAGGAAATCTGAACATCGGCAAATTTGTCCCTAAACTGATGAACAGCTTTTAATTTCATTAATGAGTCCCATCTGTTTAAATCAAATCTGATCTAAGAACAAATTTCCAAAACAAGATGGAAAAACAGAAGCCATCCATGTCTCAGGCATTTTAAAACCGACAAGTTTTCCATCAGGATTTAGCCTCATCCATCTACAGCATGAAGCGGCCAATACCGTTCGTGCAACGCAGCACTTTGAATATAGGCAAAACGTCCCAGCTGTTTCCTCTAACCTGACAACCTTATCCTATTCATGCTCTGTCCGCTAAATGGCTCATTTCCTATGGCTTTCTCCTAAGGGAAACCTTTGGTCAACTTTCCTGGAAGTAGATGTTTCCTTATCAATAGATCCTTATGTGATCTTTGTAGGCTTTTGCAAGGCTTTAAATGTAGTTTGAAACAAAAATCTAAACATTGATGAAAACCAGGTTTATTATTTATTTTTAGTCCTGATTTTTTAAGTTTCATATAAGAGATCAAAGTACGAAACATCATGAAACTGAAATGTTCTGCTTGTTACCGTCCCTCAATAAATTATTGATGCTAGAAATGGGCACCGTTGAGCTTACTCACTGCACATATGCAGAGGACCATATGTCTGCCTCACATCAGCATATGAGCCCCTCCAGCTGTCTGCTCGGACACAGAACTTGTCTTAAGATTAGGCAAATTTATCCTCTGCATTGATATATATACATATTAAAAAGGTCTTGCAGAAAAATAACGAGACATGCAAGCAGTAGTCAATAAAAAAACAAAACATGTTTATTTTTATCCTGACTTACTGGTCAGGTTTTATTTTCTACAGCACTAGTACACATCTGGAATGTTTTCATTCACTATTAATAACTTATGCAAAATATTCTTTACAGCAAAAGGATAGACTCACATATTAAAATACTTTACAGTGTTTTGCTCGCAAAGTAAACGCTTTCATGGGTAACAGTATTAGTTCCCTTGAGGCAAACATCAACACCTCTGGAGTTGATCAGTATGGCAGATAAAAGTTTTTTTTTGTTTGTTTTAAGTAGCATGGGAGGCGGGTTAGGCTCTGGGAAATACAAAAATATAGAATACTGTATGTAAGACAATATTTAAAGGGGAAAGATATGAGGTTTGGTGCAAAACAGGACAATCTCATGGCAACTGAGTTTAGAGCAGCAATGCGGGAGCAAAAGACACTCGGTAAAAAAAAACAAAAAAAGAGAAGCTGAAGATACACAGTGCTGCACTACAGACAGAGGAGGTGTTCTTAAACTTAAAGGGCAACACATCCTGTACCCTGATCTGGCTTCAGCCTTTAGTCAATAGACCAGCTTTTCAGATTATCTGTCGGTATGTAAAAAAAAAAATCATGGCACACTCTAAACCTATCAAAAGTTCACATGAGAGGGAAATAATCACCATTTGGCATGTTTACAACAGTACAAACAGCAGAACCTTGGCTTCAAGTCGAACTACATTCATCTTAACACTGAAGTTTTTGGATCTCCAACCAGCAGTACATCACCGTGCGGATGGCAATAGTATATTTAAAAATTTATTTTCACAAATTCCTAATTTCCTCAGTTTTTGGATGCTGTGATGCACCTACAGCACTGGGCGCTTGAGAACAAACTGGTAATGTGAAACGTGGCAGAGATGAGGTCTTCCTGCAAAGACGAGGGACCTCAAGCGCTCGTGTTGTCGTCCGGGCCCCGTCCTGTTAGAGAGCGAACTCGTTTGAGCCCGATCCCCTCCCTGCAGAGGTTTCCTGTCAGAGCTGCATCATGAACCTGCTTCATGTTGTCCTCGACTTCAGCCTTGGCGTGTATGAGCAGGTCAGCCTGGCCCTGAGGCACCAGAGCAGGAGAATCAGGAGAAGAAGAGAGTGATTTGGATTTTCAAACAGGGAAAGTAAGCATGTTGCTGAAAGTTACGAGGTGCCAACGATCCTCCTTCAAGACACCATTAAAACAACAAATGTATGAGCTACTTACCTTCAGGATGGTGATGTTCCAGCTGAAGCTCTCCAGTGCTCGACTAACCTTGGAACCTTTTAACCCTTCTTTCATCGCCAGGTTTTGCAGATTCTCGTGAAAGTCCATCGCTAGAGACAAAATGACAATACAACCTCAGCAAACAGACACTTGTAGTGTTGCAAATCATCAATAGCACTATGGTAAAATGGCTAAAAGGCACAAACAGAAGCACAACAATCAAGCTGCTATCTCAATCTTTACCAAATGTGTCATATAGATTGAAGCATGACAGAAAACATTGGGAATTTCATAGATCATCAAATCCTGCCATATCCATGAGGCATACTGGTCACTTATAATGGGCTCAACGGTACATGTCTATTGGGATCAAGGATGTGAAAAATGTCTACCATAGTTTTAAAGTTGTTTGTATTAATGTCTTTATTTCATATTGAAGCAGCAATATTCTGTCCTTGAATATACCATGTAACTATCAAATCGCATTCTGCAGTATTTGTTAAGTTTCTCATAACTTTATGTTCTCTGCTTTTTCTCATCATAGTAGCTTCATCTGGTCGCAATCCTGGATTAAAATATCAGCTGTGCTGCTGCCATCAATACCTTTGTTTATAGATATTGGAGCTTGGCCTTATTTTCAGTGTAGTCCTGTTTCTCTGACTGTGACTAACTGTATGTGCTTTCTTTCATCCTCTGATATTGGAGCTGAGGCAAGTTCAACTGCATCAATCCAATATCAAATTAAAAAAGCACTTGGATAGCACAG